GCCTCTCAAAGTGCTGGGATTACAGGCATAAGCCACCGCACTTGGCCAATAGTTGATAATCTTTTTTTATAGGATGGTCAGAGAAGGCCTCACTGAGAGGATGACCCGTGACAAACAGAATACAAAGAAAGCAGAGAGACTAACAAAGAGTCCAAAGAAAGTGGAGAGACTAAACCATTTAGCTATCTCAGGAAACACTGTTTCACCTAGAAATAACAGCAAGTACAAAGTCTCTAGGGTCAGGGTGCAATTAACATGTTTGAGAAATGCAAGAAGGCTAGTATGAAAAACTGAATAAACAAAAGGGAGAGAGGTAGGAGATAAAGTCTGAGAGGGAACAAGACTATGCAGGGACCAGAGGCCTGCCGCAGAGAGGACTTAGGCTTTCGTTCCAAATGAGATGGGGAACCACCATTAGATGGTTTTAAGCATGGTCTGACTTTTTATTTTAAAGGAATCACTCTGGTTGCTATCCTCAGGAAGCACTTGTAAGAAGGCAAATACAGAAATAAGAATATCATTAGGAAGTGATCACAGTAATATGGGCTGTCACTGGCTTGGACCAGGATGATATTGGAAGGAAGAAGAAAAGCAGTCAGATTCTCGAAGTGTTTTGAAGATAAAGCCAACAGGATTTACCAATGGATTGACAGATTAAACAGTGTAAAAGAGAAGGGTCAAGGATGACTCCAAGGTTGTTAACCTGGAGAACTGAAAGGGAGTTTCGTTTTAGAAATGTTAAACAAGAGTTGCTCTTAAGAGGTCCTAGTATAGATGTGAGATAAACAGTTGGATATATGAGTCTGAAGTTCTGGGGAAAGATCTAGCTGAAGATATAAATTTGGATGCCATGAATGTACAAATGGCATTTAAAACCATGAAATTGTTTATGAGAATTCATATACCTTAAAAATAAGCTGGGTGAAAACACTAGTTTCAGAATTGATCCTTAGACTTAAACTGAATTGGTAATTTGCCCTTAACTTTCATCACCCCTTTAATTCATATTAAAGTGAGCTGGTATTGCAATGCCTAACAGCACACCATAGGCACGCAGATATCTGATGAATTATGAACTTTGAGAGCTGGAAAGATCCTCAGAGATAAATCAATATATTCATTTTTATAGATGAATAAATAAAGTCCCAAAGAAGTTTACTGATTTGCTCTAGGTCACCCAGCTAGTTAGGAAGGGCACTCAGATAAGATTCCAGATACCCAGACATTTAGTCCAGTAAATTTCTCTCCACATGATTTTTTGCTCTGAATAAGTAACTTTGACTTAATAAAGTATGGGAAAATCTTGCCCATTTGTTAACTATACAATAACCTTACCTCTTTAGAATGTGGCTAAGAATCAAGAGTCAAAATAGGCCTTTGTGTAGACATGAGCGGCAAAAAAATCTATGCAATCAAGCCAGTGGACTTCAGTAACTAAAGTCCCTGCAATGCTCGTTCTGATCTGAAAACATGCAAACAGCAGTCTAGAACCATTTAGTTAAACAGGCAGAGGCTCACTCAAGCACAAACCCTTATTAGCACCTTAGGGCATCAACATAACAGAAAACAATTACATGAGAACTAGTAGTGCCAGGACTGGAGCCCAGTCTGCCTGAATTCAAAGTCAGTATGATTTAAACTGCACCACACACACAAAAAAGTGAAATTATGTTCTACATCTACTTTACGAGCTGCTAAGGGAATAATCTATCGTGAGTATGATCTAAAATGTTTAAATTCTTAAACTTCGAGTGCTTATAGAAAAACTCATACCTTGATGGTGGATAAATCAAAGCAGTAAATGATGCTCTCTACTCTCGATTCCTAAAAATAATAATAGAGATGGAAACTGGCTTCTATATAAAAACAGAGAAACAATATTTTCTTACTTAGGTCAAGAATGATGTTCCACTTAGACAAAAATACTCTAATTAAATTTTTATTCATCCCAATGGGTTCTTAAGAATATTATTTTAAATAAAACTAAGTCAAGAAAAAAACATGTTCTTTGAAAATAAAAGCCACAGGTCAGAAGAAAATGTAAGAGCTCCATGTCAGCCTTTTATCTGAAAACCTCTGAAATTATTTCCAATAACCTTTTATTATTCATTTTAGAATATTAAATTTTTAAAATCATAATGGCACATAAAATGACAATTGATAGATGGAAAAGACAAGAAGAAATGAAATTGACAAAATAAATATCGTACATTTTAATCATAAAAGTTCCTCCCTCATCGATCTTAAATCAGAGTTTAAATAATGAAATTGATTAGCACGAATTTCATCCTTACTAACTTTGCAAATGAAGTACCATAGCAGTTTACACATGACAAATGTCCAAGAAATGTTCACCACAGGATGATGCTAATAAAATGGCAATTCCAAGAAAGCAAACAGAGGGAGAAGCAAATTATATAATCTATCTTGAATTTACAAAGAATGCTTCCCACCCCACCACACCTAGTATCATGAATAATTAAATAGCCTATTCCTTTGTAAGAGAGAAAGGGAAGAGGAGAGCTCAACCATTCAAAGGCCTCAATTTAAGTTACCAAAAGGTCTGTGAACCCAAAGATACTGATCACTTCTCTTCAAAAAAACAGATGCTGTTATTTGCAAGGCTTCCTTTTTCCTAGCAGGGAGGTTGTTATGCTTTTAGTACCAGCTGAGGAAAAAAAATACACCTTTGAGATGTAACTTTACTGTCTCAGAGAAAAATCAAATAGCCAATAAATTCATTTGCAAAGACATAGCTCCAACCTCTCACAGACTTTAAAAACTAACCGGTGAAGGACTTTAAAATAAGAAAAGCGATAACTTTAATTAAAAGAATCAGGGAATTTCAGAGTTTCTTCATCTAGGAAAGTACACCATCTTTTTATGACCGTAAGGAAATAACTAACCAGCCAATTTCTAGAACATCATAGTAGGTGAGTTCAGAGTACAGTTAGCTCTCTATCCACTAGTTCCACATTCATGGATTCAAGCAACCATGGATTGAAAATATTT